CCTACATATTTACTAGATGCCCAATAAGTGTTCATAGTTGTAGTCTACGAAGGCCAGAGGCCTAATTAATAGTATCTTGCTTCTCTGTTAGGGTGATGGACATTTTGCAAATAAGACACAGGAGGAGCAGAGATGAGGCTGAGTTACAGAAAATTATGTTGGAAGACAGAGCTCAGGGTGAGAAGAGACTGAGTATTCTGGTGCTGAACCCAGTGCAGGTAGGCAGTGCTGGGTGATCAGGGCCACCCACAGGTGGGCAGAAGCTGTCCCCAGCCAGCAGTGGAGAACAAGGTATCAGGTAGACCACTCACTCCCCAGAAAAGGAAAGACAGAGTCAGTAATTTCAATCATATTCATCTCCAGTTGACCAATCTGAACTCAGTCTAGCTGCTTTGAGGCAGAGTGGGTAAAGGGCCAGAGAGAAGCCAAGAGTTACATTTGTAAGTTCCCTCCATATGGAAAACTACATGAGCAGTGAGGAAGAATTATTCCCCCTTTAATTATTTTTAAATGATGGTAACATCCAAGTTATTTTAAAAAAAAATCTCTTTATCAGAGTTTGAACCCGCTTCTTTCAAACCTTGCCCAAATTCTAACATAATCTTCTGATTGTGTTACCTATCCCCCTTGAAACACTGAAAAAAAAAAAAAGAATGATTTTATAACATCATAAAATGTTCATGTTATTAAGGACTAATACACTAACACTTCATAATCTATTAACTGGACTAAATCATTTCCTCACTTATGGCTGCATAAATATGACCTACCTACAATTCACCCCACCTCTCCAGAGACTGGAGGAACAGCTTAAAAGTGGGTGAAGCCTGTACACCCCACAGAGACTGTGAGAACAACATCTGTCTAAGAGCTTAATGAGGCCAATTCAGGGAATAAATTCAAAGCCATGCCCAGGACTTTTTGAGACCAAAAGAGCATCATTATAAGGTTTATATAGCTTAGTACTTTCTTATCTTATTCTTAATAGTCCCAAGAAATAAATTTACACTTTGGAAAAGGTAATGCCAGGAGGATATGTCCTGGGGTAATAACCCTTGTGGATAAAGAGTGAAATTGCCCCCAAAATAGGTATTGATTGCAAAGGGTGGAGGAATAAAGATGGGCATGTTAATATCTTGGAGAGAAAAGTAGAACCAAGGACAAGAAGCAAGGTTAGGAACTGGGGTGGGTACAGGACATTGATTGTGAAGACTTAATTTAGGGGATTTTTTTTTTTTTTTACTATGGAAATGTTAAGTAGATGATCACATTTTTTTCCCCACGATATATCATGTTTCTCTTTTGTTTTTCCTAGTGCCTAAGAATAGCCAGCTAAATGTTTATAACTTTGTGAAATGGCACTAAAGAGGGTAATGACAGAATTAGCGATGAAAGAGAGGCCCATCCTATGTTCAGCCACTACCTCCCTGACCATCTCCTGCTCTATGGAAGCTTTTGAAGATGTGGCAAAGATGTTCCTTACCACGCTAAGGAAAAGCAGGGGAAACGGTATATCTCAGGTGAGTCACAATCAGTGATGACTCAGAAACAAATATGAACTAAGTCATCTCTTCTTCCCTAAATATATACCATAGGCAGGTGATTCTTAATGGGGAGAGAAATCCTACCCTTGGGTTATTTATGGAAAAGGCACAATTGCTGTAATAATACAATCATCTATTTTCCTTGAACATCATAGAAGGAACAATTCCATCGCATATTTTTTTATGAACAAATATAGATGCTGTCATCAGCCAAGTAAGGGTTGCTCGCTGATGCTTTAATTAGAGCAGATTGCAGAGCTGCTTCCTTTTCCTAATTTCTGTTTCTATGAATAATCTACAGAGTTGTGCAACATGCAGATGACACATGGAAATCAGAATTATGACTTTTATGTAGACCACATTGTTGTTGTTGTTTTTTTTTTTTTGCCTGTAAATTGCCTCCAAATGGCTTGGAAAGGAATATTGCTTTATGATGCTTTCAACCCAGAAGGGCTACCTGAAAGCCATTATACCTACAATTCAGTAGAGCCTATTTCTGGGATCCTCCACCGAGCCATTCAGACTGGCTATGTCAGTCAGTGTTTCTTCCTAAGGAACAGTCCCACTTGGGTATAAGAGTTTTGAATTCTTGCAATGAAAAGGTAGAGGCCAAGTGATTGGAAGAGATCTGGAGCATCCTAAAAGTCACTGTAATTAAAACACAGCAGTTTGTCATTATGCTGAAGGAAAACAACATTCTGAGAAAGGCACACAAATATTAATGTGGTTACCCAAGGCCCTGCTACATTAATTCAAATTGACTTGGGCAGATATGAAATCCTCAGATGGACTGAAAACTAGTTGGAAGGCTTAAAACAAAAGAAAATGCAATATAATTAGGTGGAAAAAGCGGTGGATTTGGAGTCACTAGAATATGGCTGGTTCTGCCGCTGACTAACCGACTGACCTTTGGCAATTCATGGAGCTTCTCTGTGACTCAAATTTTAAACTGCAAAACAGGATACTATTACTTAACCTTGGGTTAAAAGAATGTATGCAAAGGTTATTTTCTGTTGTCAAATGCTGTTCCACACCCTTTCCTCACTTCTGCTTCTCTTCTCTCAACACAGGGACAGATAAATCCCTGCCTAATTTCTTCACCAGGCACCTGCTTCATTTTCCTTTTTATTCAATTTTTTCTTTAGCATAAGCCTGCTGATTTACAAATTTTGTTTTTTATATTTCTTAAAGCCAGCATTTAATATCATATTTTTTGAACTATAAAATGGATGTTTTATTTGGGTAATTTTTCTCCTTTATAATCTTATTTTTTCTCATCTTTAGCTTTAAATTTTTTAAATGTTCATTGACAAATAATAGTTGTATATGTTATATATTTATGGGGTACAATGTGATTTTTTGATATGTTTACACGTGGAATGATTAAGTTAACAACCTAATCCATGATCTCACATACTTACCAGTTTTTTTGTAGTGAAAACATTTTAAATCTACTCTTTTAGTAATTTTGAAATATACAATGATTATTTATTACAGTAACCATTCTGTACAATAGATCACTAAACTCCTTCCTTCCAACTGAAATTTTGTATCCTTTGATCAATATCTCCCCTTTCCCCATCTACTCCTGCTTCCTAGTTTCTGGTAACCACCATTCTACTCTCCATTTCTTCAACACCACATTTTAAAATTAACCAACTAGCATATTTATGTTCAGTGTTTCTTTGAATTAAGAAAAAAGTTTTCTTCTCATTACTCCCTTTTCTGTTCTATTACCATTGCATCTTCTTGGCTCTTACATTAGCTAAACTTAACTCAGTGTTCTGATTCTTGATATAGGTGAAGTGGTGAACTTAAAAGGGCTTGTTGAAATGTATACTTTTGATAAAGTCAGAGTCACCTCTGCTTAGAGAGATTCCCCCAACTGTTTGGGAATAATGTTTGTACTTATATTCCAGAAGAAGTTTTCAAACCTTACTGTTGTATTAGAATCATCTGGAAAGTAAGTTACACATAAACATTTCTGAAGCCTTCTTTAGAAGATTGTAATTCGGAAGGTTTAGGTAGAGAACCAGAAATCTGCATTTTTAACAAGCACCTAAGTAATCCTGATGCAGGTGACCCATAGTCTACACTTCCAGAAACTCTGTTAGAGATTATTTAGGCAATTCCAAAAGTAATCTGGACTCTTGAATTTTTGCCATTTAATAAAGTAGTTCTTTAGAAAGGGAATATAGCAAAAGGAGTTTTTATATTAAAAAATGCAAAGCTATATGGGGAATCATAGATGAGTTTGGATGGTAGTTTGTTCAATAGATATCTGTGTGTGTTAGCAAAGTTAACTAGTTTTACTTTCCCAACATATAACATTAGCTACTCCAAGGAGAAATTGTAGGGATGAATGAGGTAATACATGTTAAAAACAAACACCTTAGTCATGAAAAGTAGAATAGAAACATTAATAATTATCTTTTTGGTGCTTATAATTTTCAAAAGTGGATTATTCAACTAAATGAGAAAATTCTAAGCTTAGATTCCATGATTTCCTTTTCCATATATTAGTGTTGTTAGCCATGTGAAGTACGGTGTGCTTGTCAACACACAGTGGCTAACCAGGCCAGAAGCTGGGTGGGAGAAGGAACAACCATGAAACAGTGTCTGTGGTTGTAAAGCAGTTACCTGGCGTTAACACTAAATCAATAAAAGGTGCATTTGATTTAGTACGAAGCACTGCTACAAAGTGTAAATACAATGTGATAGCAAAAAAAAAAAATTTTTTTAATTGCATCAATTTATTTCAGACAATTCTGCAAAAGAAAACAAAATTACCAATTACAAACTGGCTGGAAATGTATTCTGTGATCTTCTTATTACCTGGAAACCATTTTTTTTAATTCTGTGCAAGATCGGTGTCAAGTAAACTCCAATTATATTGATTACCAATTTAGTCTGTCTGGATTTCGGTATTGAAAGACAAACTGAAGCATGTAGCTGGCTTGTAGCTCTATCTCCCTTACCCGGTCAAATGTATATATCCACATAACAAAGAGGCTAAATGCATAAAATGTATAACATACACACCCAATGTGTGTGTGTGTGTTTGTGTGTGTATACATGCACACACCTTTTACAAACTAAGAGATTTTTTGGTAATGTTTTCAGGAAAATTTCCCAACAGAGAATGGCTGTTCCCAGCATCACCCTGGGAAGTACTTTCACAGCAAGCAGAAGGCAAAGGGTTGTATCCTCATTATCTTTGCACCCCAGGTATCTTGGATAGTGCAAACAAACATTAGATGCTGAACAAATATTCATCGTTGTTAAAGTTGACATGATCTTCTTTGGAATAACAACGTTTAGGTAGGTCGTGGTGAGATTCTGAAGGAAGTGGGAATGTAAAGAGACCAGGTTTTCTCCCGAGGTTTGCTTCATCTTGTCTAGTCATAAGATAGGCCAGGTTATGCTACAATAATAGAAAACACCCAGACTCAGTGACTTGATACAAACAGCGTTTATTTTTCATTCAATGAAAACCATTTGCAAATACAGGAGGCCCTCCAAGGGGACTGTCCTTCATGTGGTAACTCGGGGGTGCTGTTTGGATCTTGTGTCACCACAATCTCAACAGAGAGCCCCCCCCACCATCACCCAGGAGGAAAAGACAGCTCTAAGCTGGAGGGCCTGGCAGCAGTAATGAAACGTTTGGGCTGGGACACCACCCACATCACTCTGCTCACAGCCCGTCAGTACTAGCAGCCCTGCTCCATCTAACCACAGTGGAGCAGGGACCCAGAACTCATCCATCCTTTGTTCAGAAGCAGAAGAGAACTGGAGAGAACACCACCAGCGATTCTACTGCACTAGTTTAAATGGTTTCCAAGGAAATTCACAGCAGTACAATAAGCGTTTTTACAGAGGGACAAATTATAAAAATAAGCTGATGAAGAAACTACTAAATCATAAATATAAATAGATCTTAGATGCTGATTATGAAGGGAAATTCTGCAGTTTAAATACATTTTTTTAAATCTAACTGAAGCTTACTGCAAAATCAATGTGAATTTATCACAACTTGAAAATATCATGTATCTAATATTTGAAAGCAACCTATCTTTTCTTTGCCAATTATAGCTGAATAAAGAATTCTGAGTAATAACAAGAAATTAAGATATGGCAGATCCCATGGAAAGCTAATTAAAATGTATTGTTTTGAGGCAAATCTTTATTTCTGTCACTAAATATGTAGTATTCAATCATTGGGAGTTTGATTGAAAGCAATTTTTTCCCCTTGGACCATACACATTTTTCCTTAGAGAATTCTCAGAAAAACATTATAAGGTAATATAAATTTAAACTCGTGCTAGGTGAAAGCCTGAAGTATTATGCCAGTGTAGTTTCTGGTCATCCCCAAATATCTATAGGAACCAGAATTAAGTTGATTCTCTGAGGGTTCTTTAGAATAGCTTTTCTTTAGGACTTTTCACTACCAGGTCCCAGATGGATTTAAAAGTTGAGCAATCCCAAACCTGACACATAAAGCTGACACAAAGAATTTAAAACTAAATTGTTAACATAATTTACCGTATGTATTTAGTTACTTCTTCAGTTGTAGAGGTGTGATTAAACTTACTGGGCCAGCCATTAGAATTGGCTAGAGATCCTTGAATAAGAAGAAAAACTTGTATGAATTTATAAGAAATGGAAGCCAAGTTTAATTTTAACCTTTGTGTAAAATGGAGTCTTTAATCATATAATCAATCTTGTTTGGATGTCACTTAGGATAGTCTGAAATACCATCTGCCATGGGAAAGCTCAAATGCAGTATTTTCTGGATGTGCTGGACTAGGTGAAGTCTGCAATTCCTCTCCAGACCTAGGATTTGATGTGTAGACAGAACGTGCAATTTTGCAATCTGCTGAGCCAGAGGAGGATTTAATATTACATTCAGAACTGTACTCAAATTGTCAAAAAATGTTCAATAAAATAACATTGCAAATCACACTCAGTTAAACTAGCTGGCAAAGGTAGCAGGACAAAATTGAGAAATAAAGCCTATGGGACATAGCGCTATTTACATGTTTTCAGGGCGTACGCCCTGGGTGGCTCACTATTTACAAGACAGCAGTTTCCACCCTTCCCCTCTGCTCTAGGTTTGATACAAGGCCAAGTTCTCAATCTGACTTCATATGACTGTGGTCTAGTTCAGATTAGTATTTGTCACCACTCTTCACAGCAGACAGGAATTCAGCAGACTGGGGAAGGAGGAAAAGGAGGAGGAAGAGGAGGAGGAGGAAGAAATTAAGGGACTAAGTCTGTTGAAGATAAAAATACCTGTGATCAGCTGCCTGAGTTAATCACAACAGTGACAGATGAAGGGTGCATGGCAGCCAGATGCTCACAGTTTTAAAATTTTAGATAACCACTGAAGAAAAGAGCATCTTACAATTCTCATAATATTTGCTGCCAAAGGAGCAAAAAAGGGTCATGCAATAAAGTATTATTATTATGCACCCTCTCTGAAAATGCTTTACAGAATTCTAAGCTTCTTACTTAGAAGTTAATGGGACATCTGGCTGAAAGATGACGAACCATAAATGCCCTTTAAATAAATTAAGACATGGTTTAACAGAAGAGAAAACTAGCAATCAGAACAAATGAATCAATATAACAAAATTACTTTAAAAAGCCAAAAAACAACATTTCATCAGTACTAAAAATGTTGACAAAAATGATGGCAAATTTAAAAGGATGACGTAAACAGCAACTCTGTTTCTTTATGAACATAGAACATCGACTCAACCAGCTATTACTGTTTTAATTTTTTTTTACATGTATTCACAGTCAGAAAAGCTTATGAAGTAAATTCTGTTGTCTTCTTCCTAAAATTGAGGAAACTGAGGCACTGGGGAGGTTAGACATTAAGCTGGGAAATGATAGACTTGAAACTTGAACCCAGACAGCCTGGCTCCATCTGCATCAACTGTGATAAATTAGGAAAGGGAAGAACACAAATCGCTAAGCTTTGCAAGGGGAATAATATTCATGTATTTCCAAATTACTTAATATGTGCTGTGATTTCTAATATTGATATCACGGATAGGCTGTATCAATTTCAATTAATAGGTAAGAAGAAAGAAGCAAGTGGTGTTTGGCTCTGAGTGTTCAATGACTGAATAAGATTTAGAACAGAATGAAATTACTTTATTCAGCCCTTCCTATTTTCTTCTCTGCAAATGTAAGGTTAGAATGCTCATCGTGCCATCAAGTTATTGATCTGAGACTGATGATTTCCCTTAAGAATTGATTAGAGATTCAGAGAAGATTAGTCCTCTGGAAGAATCTTTATTGTATTATATTAGCTAATATTGCGGTAGTTGGTTTCCTGACTTTATATGCCAGCCAGGCCGTCTACTCATTTAGTTAATGTAAATTCAAGTGAAGTTGCTGTATTGCAGTAGTATTGACTTGCTTGAGCTGTGGAACATAAGTCTTTTTCCCATCAGGTAAACGATAGCAAGTAAATGAAATCGGGCTTAGAAGGGAAATGATTTCCCCACAACTTTGCCCTATCAGCATAAGCCTGACACTCCCCAGGCCACAGGGTGTGGTGCAGGCTTTGCCAACCGGCCACTCAGCATGACTCTTGCCAGGAGGCTGTGCCTGGAGCTTGTGCTGAGAAAGATCGTCAGCACCCTTTGGTGGGAGACATATTACCAAAGTGAATCCTAAAGAATGGGCGGCTGAGTTAAAGGAAATAGGAGAACGTAGCTGGTAAAAGGCAATACCTGGCCTTGTGACACGCACAGGCTTTGGCATCAGGCAGACCTGGGTTGGAATCCAGCTTCACACCGAACCAGCAGTGAACACTGCTGGGTTAATTAATCTCTCTAAGCCTTCATTCCTCTTCTTTGAAAGGAGATACTTAACTCATAGAACTGTTAGGAGCATTAACTAGTTGTAATATGTCTAGCACAATACATGATGTGTATGATACAAGTTCAATATATATATTTTTTTTAACGAAAAGCTACTTCTCAACAAATGCAATTACTGGAGGGGGGTATAAGTAAAATATTTTTGAAGACTCATAATTAATTAGACATTATTTCCCATTCACTCCAAATCCATTTTGGAAGTCTGAGTCCTTAAATGGAGTTACTCATTTTCTGCTTAAGTTTTAAAACTGAAGTCACATTGACTCTCCAGGCCACTCTCAAAAGCAAACCAAGGCTGAATACATAGTGTTTCCTCAGATTTAAAGAGACAGGTTTCCGATTTTTAGGATAAATCTGGTCAAAGATCAGAGAAATCTCTTCTTGCTGGCACTAAACTAGAAGTGTTTCTAGCTCCAAGAGTCACATATTAGAAAAGCTTTTCAATGGCTTCTTTCACTCTTTACTCATGATAAAATTAAATAATATATCAACAGCACTGGGTTCTCACCCTTCTGCTGTCTTTGAAGTGTTTCAAATGCATCTGTACTAAGGACATGCCTCCCTCCAATCTTAAGAGGGATAGAAGGAAACAAATGTAATTGTGTTAAAGATTAGGGGAAATAATCTAGTCACTGCTTCTCCCCTGACATGGGAATCTCAAGATTTGCACTCCTCAATATAGTAGCCACTTGTCACAGTGGCTATTTAAATTTAGATTACTTAAAATTAAATTCAAAAGTGAGTGTCCTCGGTTACACTAGTCGTATTTCAAGCATTCAACAGCCACATGTAGCTAGGGGCCTACCAAATTGTACAATGCATATATAGAGAGCTTCCGTCATCTCAGAAAGTTCTATCGGGTAACACTGCTAAATGATTGACAGTGAAGAAATCTAATTACGGTATGATTTTTCTTTCTCATTGAGCATATAAAGATATAGGCATCCTCTATTATGTAAGAGAAAGAAGTATGCAAAATTACTTAGAGCACAAAATGCTAGACGAAAGACCATCTCATACTTTCATTCCTACCCTTTGTTTCGGTTTGTTTAAATTATTTCAAAGGAATGGAGTGGCTCCAACCTGTGGTTCCATGCTTTACTGGTGAGCTTATCGAATTCACCTATCATAAAGGAGCCTGGCATGGGCACCTGAAAGTGATTTCAGCTGAAACTGTTACCTAAGCCAGGTGGTTTTAGGCAATGTAATGGCCCCTTTTCTCTCCTGCTGCTCTTGTTTGAGATCTCTTGTATGTTGCTATTTCCCCTCCATCGCAACTCCGTCCCCATTTGACTTATGCTTCCAACCTTGGTATTCTTGGTCAGAGTTCACCATGATGACAGAATTGGTGGTGCCATATGGCAAGGAGAGAAAAGAATAAACTTTTCATGACCAGAGAAGCTAAGAAATTGTTGGTCCTTTGTGCCCCATCAGGCTATTTTCCTTCATTACCCTTTATGTAGGCCTTATTTTCTCTACACGCCCACGTGGTCAGAAAATGTCCATAATAGCCTGAAGCCGCATATTCTTTTGTAATATATATAATTCTGTATGAAATATTCACCATTAGGTGAAGGGCTAGGGAAGAAAAGACAGCAGGAAAAGGTCTCATTTTTGTACTGCCATTTATCACTATCACAAATGAAAGTCTTAACCAAACTTGAAAGGGATTGCAAATATTTCTAAGAGATCGTGGATATTTATAACATTGAATTCTGTTCCCTAGTTATCCTTCAAGGAAAGAGAGTCTGGTTTGAAAGTAAGTTAACAGTAGAGGCAAAAGAAGCAGGCAGGTCAAACGTGAAGCCACAAAGAAGAACAGGGGTAGAAAAAGAAACCAGCCGGCTCCCAAAAAGTTATATATTAATACATATCCACTGGAGAAATGCAGGTCCTGTTAGGTATTTATTTGCCAACTTTCTCCCTTTCCTTATCCCAGCAGTACTTCTCTGCAGACTTGATCCTGTTAGTATCCCTGCCCCTGTGACATAACCGCCACAAATGGCTTGAATCTATTCCTACCACATTTCTAGAATTCAAAGTGAAATAATGAGTACATTTTCCCATAGCGATATTAGCTGATTCAATACATTTAGGTTATAGGAGATTATTGGCTGTAATACGGAGAATTATTTGGGGGCAAGAATAGGAGCAAGTGCTCACTTAGGAGGCTATTTTGAAAGTCTAGGCAAGAGATCATAAAGACCTTGGTTAGGGAGGTAGTAGCGGGAATGAATGGAAAAAGGGAGATGGATTCAGACCATATTTTACAGTAAAGCTGACAGCACTGAGTCTGCAGGGGGAAGTTAGGGGCGATGGGGAGAAACAGGGAGGGATCATACTGCCTTTCACTGAGATGAGAAATATTAGAAAAGACATAAATGAGCAAAGACCTCTGGGTGGCTAAGGTAGGGTGGGGATGAAGAGGACTGTTTTTGACATGTTAAGTACCACATCTGAGTGGAAATATTAAGTAGGCAGCTGAATATAGGACTCTGGACTTAAAAAGAAAGAACTGGGCTGGAGATACAAATTTGGTGGTCCTCAGCATATGGAGAGGATTTAAAGCCATGGAATCAGTTGAGGCCCATAGAGAGAGGGAATAAAATGATAATGAGGGTACCAGCCCTGATCCATGTGAGCTTAGGGTCTATATAACACTGCATTGTGGGTTTTATAGAATTTTTAGGCTTCTCTCTGGACTACTTAATATATGTATCATTGA